TTCAATTAAGAATTAAGATTAAAGAAAAATTTTATTTATATATAATTACCTCAATAAACTGGTTTTCAATCAACATTGAAGCAATGATTTAGAAGTGAAGGCACTGATTTTAAAAGTTCAGAAACTGGACCAGGCAACATATTTCAAAATTTAAAAGTTGTGTTTGTCTAATCAATACACTGCTAACAAAGATTGGGAGGATAATTACTTACTTAAGCTTTGGCAGACTAGAGTTGTTTGTCATCACCTAGATGAGGACAAAAGAGAGCAAGGATGCTCCCTGTGACAGCTGGACTCCTTAGAGGGAGGAATGGAGGAGATGTAGTTACTTCTTTTCATATGCATCTACATCAAAAATTTTTTTAATCATCATCTTAGGGATCTTGCTTTTAACCTTGGGGTTTTAACTCACTTTTTTTCTGCTCACCAAATTAAAACTTGTTCCTTTTGACAGATGTTTGCCTTCAATATCTATAATCTAAGCCTTCATGCAAACAGTCAGGTTACCCAAGTGTTTTATATATATCTGAAGTTTCTGGACTTTCATGTGAAATGGGAAGGTTAGCACTTATAGTTGATAAGTTAACTTTATTTCCTAAAAATGGATTAGATCCTTGAGTTTCTTATTTTTTGCAACACAAATGTTTGCACTCATGAGAAAATTCAGCTGACATCATCTTGGGAAATCAAGGAAATAAATGGCAAAAACAGCTGTAAGGTAATTAATATTTGGCTAGTTTGCTTGGAGTACAGTGTATTCTCAGTGAGAGCAGAGTTTCTATCTGCTAGAACCATTAATTTTGCTGATTTACTGTAAACATTTCAAACGGCATAAGAGAGCCTAATTTCCTGCCTTTCTTTTAGAAATAGTACTGCCTGATTCCCATGTGCAGCCCACTTCAACTTGGAGTGTTTATCGGTACTATTTATTGTTCTTGTTATGCCTGGGTGGCAGTCTTTGAGCTATGACACATATGCTACTGCAGTTCACTGCAAAGAGGGACCTGTAGGGCATCCCTAAACCTCCTGTTGGAGGTTCAAAGCTGCTTAGGCTGTGGGGCCATCAGAATTCCTTCCCTCAGACTCTTGAAATGAGGGCGTTTGTGTTCTGGTTTGTGACTCATATGTTATAATCTGAGTGAAGAAAGTGCAATGTGATCTTGATACTATACAAGAATGAGAGTCTCACAGAACTTCAGGAGAAACTCTAAGACTCTTGTAGTCACAAGATCAAATTGTAAACATAGTGAAACGTTAACTCAGAATGCCAGAGAGCTATGCTCTTTAGCTCAGGTCTGTGTATCCATCATCCTCAGGGCAGCTGCTGTGAGTCAGCAGCTGATCCAGAGCCCACGGCTGATCCCTTACTCTGCCTGCCCTGCTGGTCCAGGAGAGGAGAGGATAACATGTTTGTGTAGGGCAGACCAACAAAGAGAGGTTATGGGTGGCTGGTCCCCACGCCATAGGATGGGGGGAAGCACCTCCCAAAAAGGGGAAAAAAAACCAACACCCCTGGACATCAGAAGTACAACCAGGATCTGTCTTGCTGCTAGGACAACAGACCCTGCCCTCTGTAAAAAGCAAACCCAGAGAAATTTCTGTGCTTGGTCTTTTGGGGAGCGAGCAAGGCAAACTGGCTGGGCTTGGACAGATGATATGGTCTGATCAGCAGGTTGTGCTGTTGTATCATTGGAAGCTCTACCTCAGCACTCCTCCTAGCTTACTACAAATTCCTTATGGCAATGTGCATGTTTGCCAACAAATAAAAGGATCTTTTCAAACCCTTAGGCTAATATTCATCATGTCCTGCAATTAACGCAGTTTTTGTCATTTAGGATCTTATGTTTGACCTGATGAGACTCCCATTGCAGTCATCATCTTTTGTTGTGATTCAATCATTTAAATCAACATGCTGATCTGATTAAGTAATTCTAGTCTCAACCTCAGCCTCTGATTTAAGGTGGCAATATCTAAAAACATTTAACCTTGCAATAATTTGAGTAGCCAGTAGCATGCTTGTAAATATCCTGGAGCCAATGCTAGGGGGCTTGATTATTACTGCTGAGGAGGTGGGAATTTTTCTTTTACTAGCTTGTTTTAGTAGTCCAGGAGGACATATTTTTAAATCATTCAAGACAACTAAATCTCATTCTCTGTTTTACAGTCCAAATAGGAAATGTCATTTTATTTGTTTCCTGTTAACTCTCCCAAACATGTTGTGCTTCTGCCTTGGCCAAACAAACAGTCAGCACACTGTGGTTCTGTTGGACAACTAGAAGCTCTTTACTCATTTTGCTGACCCAGTTCCAGCCAAGTAGCAAATGTGTGGAATATGAAAAATTCCAGCCAATTTGATCAAAGTCAGAAGAATCAGGTTTTCTGTAATATGTAGTTGCCCGTGCCCAGAAAATGGATATGAATACTTTCCAAAAGAAAAGCTTTAAAGAGCATATGTGATTCTGAGGATTACCATGTGCAAGAGGATTATTATTTGAGAGACAAAGGGAGTAAGAGATTACAGCACATTAAAAGGGAGTTGGTTTACATCAAAGGTGTAGTATGGTTACACTCTTTGTATAATATGAGGCATTGGCCAGGGAATCAGACAGTTGGGATTTAGAATGAGCTTTCAAGCTCTTTTAGCTTTTCTGATTTCAGCTCTATATAGCAGTGTTTGGAATATGCAAAGATGTTTTCATTTAGTAGTGAATTAAGCAAAAATAATCAGCTTACAGATTCCTCTTCTGTGATATGCTGAAGAAAAGGAAAAAAAAATTCCAGACATTCAGGTCAAATATAAAAAGCCTGTGGGCTGTTTGGAGTGAGCACCCAGTTGAATGATCACAGGAAGGAATTTCTATTAAGCAGCCCTTCAAAACAGCCACTTCTCTTTGGCAAAATGCATAACTCAAACATTTAGCTTCCTTTTATTTGTCCTGCAGATTTGTTTTCATCTAATTAGAGCTAAAATAAATAAAAAAATTATTGTGTATCTATAAATTATAGTGCAATATCTATTTAACATGAAAAATTTAGATTTTCTTGTAAATTTTAAATTAAGAAAACTGACAATCAATTTTACTATGGCAATAGATAGATAAGGTGTAGCCCAAAGTGCAGGAGCTTAATTCTCCTGAATCTCATTTTGCTTCTTCTGCCTGCAGATGTAGCTTGACACACTTGTAGGTCAGATTTGAGCCTCGAAGCTGTGACAGCATTCCTGTCAATAAGTTTGCAGCTGACTGACAGTTTCACACTGTCTGTCCCAAGAACAGAGCACAGCAATTCATTAACTCTGAACTATCATCCAGCCATTTGATGTATCCCTGTATGTATCCTGACCCTCTCAGGACTGGGTTGGTAAGTTCCAGCATTCATCAAATAAAGCATCCAGACACATTGCAACAAGCCTACTGTTCATGTAATTAAATAAATGCAGGGAGCATGTAAATGAGCCTTTGCCAGTGTGAGCTCTCGGCAGCAGCGGAGCTCGTCATTCCACTTTTCCTGATGCAGTGATGTTCCCTGCAGACCTGAGCACCCCTGGGACTGGCCCAGTGGGTGCACACTGGCTTTTTGCCCAAAGTGTAAAATGCCATCGATCAAGGAAAGAGGGTTAATTGTACATACATCATCTGGCAGGGTTTCCATCCTCTAGCAGAGTTTCCCAGGGCTGTGGCTGAGGCAGTAACAATAGTAGACAAACACCAGAGGGAGTTATTGTGCTACTGGAGAGCTGGGAAAGGAAAGCCTCAGGGCACGGTGTTTGTAAATAGTGTGAGTGAAGTTTCTAGCCAAAGAAAAGAGCTCAGGTGGCATGACTCTACAAAATGTAAATGGTGAAACCATTCATTCTACTGATGTTTGAAAGAGTTCGGGTTCCTCATCAATTTTCAGTGCTGACTCCAATGTACCAATTCTTTGTACGAAAGAGTTGATGCATAACATCTGCTTACCCTACATTAACTTTTTTACATCTCTTCACAATACTACAGGCTTGCAGTTCAGTGTCCAGAGCCAAAGGAGCAGACAATAAGAAGTAACCTTTTTCATTTGTTTGTTGAAGGAGTCTTTTCTCCTAGTTCGTCCACACATGCCCTTCCTCTGTCAGAGTACCTGCGTCTTAACTGGTAAAGTCTTTGAACCCTCAGAGCCCTGGTTTCCAGGTGTGCTGCATGCTGGAAAGTGACCAGTATGTAACCATCTCCCCAGCTGCCCTGGTCTTCCATGAAAGCAAATCTGGGTATACAGATAGGAAAGTGAGTGGGTTATCTACTTACTGGAAATAGGCTTCCCTTTCAGCAGCTCTACCTGTATTTTACACCTGCTAAAAGTCTATCCTTCTTCTGCCCACAAAGTTTCAGGTAGCCTGAACCAGTGCATCCCCTGGGCTCTCAATATCGAGGCTCTTGCAAATACTCAATTTGCAGTAACTGACCGAAAGAAAACACACCATCAGCCCCAAAGTGAATCTATGCCAGTATCTTTTAGAAAAAAAACATTTCATTGAACAAACTGACCCAACTCCATTACACTTGACACAATGCTGGGGCAGGTGGGAAGCTTCTCCAGTTCACTGCTGAGCTTCTAAGACAATGGACTAAAGTGTCTCTCTCTGCTTTTTCCCCACATGTAATTAATGCTTCTGCATTGACCGCATTTAGTGTCTATTACTGACACGGTGCTTAACTTTCCATAGCCATTACACTGACTGTCACCTGTGGAATACGAAGCAAAGATCAGCTCGTGACACAATTCAGCTGTCTTTTCAGCAGAAGACTTCAAAGTTCTTTTCTGTTCTCAAAAGAGTATTCTGTAAAAAAATCACCCTTTCATTGATGAGTATCAAAGTTAATCCCGGCTGAGTCCGATGTTAAATTGTATACCCCTGGCTTTCACAATGCTGCCAAAGTGAAGGATTCTGCAAGAAAACTATTTTTCTTAACAGTTTTATTGTGGGTGTGTAAGATCTAATGGAGATGAGCCTATTCTCTTCTTAGGTGTGTCAGCTTTACAGAGCTCACCAGCACAAAAAGAGGATCTTGGCATTGTTACACTGGCGAACATAGAAGACGCTTCATACATCCGGGTGGATGACTTGCATTGTCAAGATCTTTTAAAAGATCTGGGCGTTATTAGAGGTGGGTGTTTAATTGTTGATTCATTAAAACAGAACCATACATGAATTATCCAGGCAGTAAATCTTTTTCTTCTGATAGGTAAAAAAGAACCCCAAAAGAACTAAAATCAAACTCTTGTCTCAATTACACCAATATGAATGTAGAGGAGGAGAAATGTATTTAAGTATTTGATGATGTAGCTAGGTGCCTAGTGAAATTCACAGAAACCTCTATGCAGACCAGATGTTTAAGTAGGTTTGGGTTTGCAAATCTGTTTAAATATCAGTATTTCTGTGACTTCAGACTTGATTCCTTGGGTGCAAAGTAACACATTGCTCCTCATTTTGACAGTAAAAATCAGTGTGTAAGTTTGATACTTCCTACAATATGAAGAGAAACAAAGACCAACTTTATTTTTGGAAAATAAAAGTCCCTGGGCTGCTCTCACAGTCAATGTAAAGACACAGGCTCTCCTGACACTTGAAGTCAGACTGTAGTGATAGCATGCTGTCTTCAGAAGTTGTATTGTTATATGGCATCTCTGTTCCCATTTCAGTTCCTTTCTCCCTCCAACTCTGCTAATACATCTATTTTCTGGACCCGTACTGTGAATATGGTTAAAAAAACAGAGAAGGGGGAAAGAAAACTGAATGCAAAAGGATTGATACATGTCATGCACCTGATCTGGCTGACAGCACCATCCAGCTGATCAGTTTTAGTACAAACGGGGATGTAGTGATGCAGAAGTGGCAGGAAGTCGCTAAGGTATCTGCATCAGTGCTACCACTGAAAACAGCTACCATCAAACCTTGTCCTTAATACATGCTCTGAAAGCACCTGAAGTGATCCTTTGTGAACATTCACTGGGAACATTTTCATTATACAATTTTAAACATGTCTTTGTGTCATTTCTTCACTGAGGTGAAAGGGAATAGTATTTTTTCCATAATAGCTTTTATGATGAATCCTGCTGGATGGCCTGGAGAGCACTGGCTTGCTGGGGAATGGGGAGGATCTGCACAGGAACTTGTGGCTGTAGCAACTGCCCTCCATGGAGTACAGATATCCAAAACAAGCTGTTTTATAGATCTGAAGCAATACATTGTCATCACCCAAAACAAAAATATGGCAAATATCTCTTAAGACCAGAGTGCAATTGCACACACAGAAGCTGGAGCATTCACTTCTTGAGCTGTACCTATCAGTGTGAGACAGAAATGACAGAAACTCACACGGGTACACCAAAACTGCTAGATATAGCAAAGAAAACATCAGGGTGTGACACTGGGGGTGGACAGGAATATGTAGTGACTATTTTGGTTAAAGTATGTGCTGATTGCAGCTTAGATTTGCAAGACAGAAATCTTTGTCTCTTTGATGCTTCCAGAATTGTAAAAAGTCAGACTCCCTTTATTCTTTGTTAATAAATATTCAAAGATTGATGCTTACTCCATCATCACAGTCCTTTCCTAGCAATAGCAGCCATCTAGTCCAAAACTGACTTGCATCTGAAGTCAAAAAAGAATATCAGTCCCATATTTTTGGAACAAGGCAGACATGAAGGAAGGTCACATGCTTATGAATGTTAACTGTATTCATTAGATTAGCATGTCTGTGGAAAGGACAAGTCCCCTAAAACATTGGAGAGATCATATTTATGTAAACCCAGAGCACTACAAACAGTTAAAATTTGAAATGCCAAGCATGACTTATATTCAAAACTGATCATCGTGATATTGCCTTAAAGCTCAAAAGGCTCTGCCAAGCATGGTGTAGGGACAACAGAGGAGGCATTTGTAACATGAAGAGTCATTTCCAACTAGGATCTTTCAGGATCTGTGTCTGTGAAAAGAAATACCACACCTCAGGGATAAGAACAAGAAAAAACGTTAGCTTGCCCTTGGGAAAATATGGCTTGCAAAGCTCATATAGCTCTCCTTTACTAACACATTTTTAGAAACCTGTGCTTTTGAATGCCTGCTTTGAACAACACTCATCCCTTGGAGCCCTTTTGTGAGGACGTATAACCAACCTACTATAAAATTGATCTTAGTCACAGCAGAGTCTGCCTCCATCTGTCAAACTGCAAACAGGGAAGACAAGCACTGGATAGTAGTCCCAGTGACAATGTAAGGACTGATTTCCAAGGGTCACTCTTACAGCCATCTTTTGCATGTTGCTACATCAAGGTATTAGGACACTTCATTTGATGTTTGTCGTCTTTTGTAATGGAAGCCCTTCCACCTCATCAGAAATATGTCTACTACAGCAGATTTTCCCTATCTCAGCTATGTTCAAACCCATTTACCAAGACAGTGTAACATCTTACTCTGAAGAATTTACATATTAAAAAACTCATTGCTCCTTTGAGTTCCCTGAATATTTATTCCTCTAATTTCAGTAAAGGATATTTCTTTAGAAAGTTTACTGGGTACCTTCAGAGTCTGATGGAACTTTGCCTGTCAGAATTAGTCAGCAAAGTGTTTAATCAATGCCTACCAATGCTGAGCTGTTATCATACTCTCATCCCCATTACTACAACACCTTGCTTTCATTTATGCACCCTAATTTGCTTCAGAAGAGTTTCATAGGCATCAGTCCAGGATCTGCATGACATTACTAACTGAAACCATGTTCAGGTTAGCCAGGAGCAGCCCCAGAGGCAGTTCTGCTTTGCCTCTGCTGTGTCCAGTCTAATCACTATCACTCATTGGAGCCTGGATCCATGATGGAGCCTTTGTGAACCCAAAATATGTCTAGCTTGCCAAATTGGAGAAACAGAAGTCTAAGTGCTCCATCCTGACTCCAGTCTTACTTCCACTCTCTGGGATCCTTAAAGAGTGTATTTCTCACCCTAGCTCTGGTGTGGGCTAGAGGAAAGAAAAATGTAAGCAGAATACACTTTTGTGTATATGTTTCAGGGATCTTCTTATTGTAAGGTGACGGGACAGTGCTGTAACAATCTCCTTTCAATCTGTTTTACTTCATCCCTAAGACGACACACAAAATACCCATGTCCCAGAAGGCAGCATCGTTCATATTGAAGTCTACCCTTGGCCAAGCCTGTAGTTGACAGTTCTTGTGCTTTGCAGAGGTTTATTTCAGGGCGCAGTCAAGGAGAGAACAACTGAAGACTGAAGCTGTTTGTATACACACAGATGTGTATTCCTGGGCTAGTATTTCCCTGCCTGACCTCAGGAAGACTAGATGAAACACAGCACTAGTTGTTGAGCCAGTGAGGCTCTTTGAACTGATAACCGTGGCATGTTCTGTGATGTGGTTTGCCTGGAAACATATTTGTTTCTTTTAAAAATCCAAGATACGAAAATTACATCAGTTGCAGTGTGTACTGAAAAACCTAGGCTGAAATGGCAGACTGTTTTAGTTCATAAACGATTGCAGATGTTTGGGTGAAGGCTGCAAAACGTGTACATGTGGGGAAGGAAACTAGGGACATATATAAACACGAACATATTTGTTATATATTGTAGCCAGTCAGCTGGTCCTGTTTCAGATTGGCAGTTATTAAAGATGTGCAAAAATAAGTGGAAAGTATGATAGCTGCAATACATCTGGTTTAGTGAGTGTTTTCTATTTCTGACTCTATAGGCTTTCCTCCCTTTGTCTGATGCCAGTTGCTTACTAGACACACAGAACTGTCAACAGGCTGAAGAAGAGGCTTAGGAGATACACTGCTGGTTTTTATTACTACCAGATTGCAAAATTATATAGCCTGAGCTGGTTTTCCATGAGGTTGAGTCCCAGCTCTATGTCCCAGGAGTCTACTTTGCTAAGTAGGCTCTGGCTGGTACCAATTTAAGAAGCTTTCTTAAGTATGTGATGCCCTTTAAGTGAATGAGTCATTTGCCAGAGTCACAGGCATGAGAAAAGGATAGAAAGAAGAGCTACTAGATGAAGAATCACTGGGATTAGGTTTCCCTCCTGATCTCCAAATTTGGGCTGTTTGGCCCTGAATTCCAGAAGGAAGGTCCTAATGGTTCTTGCTGATGCCACATCAAGAAGGTGAGTGAGAAGGGCTGTTGGAGGCTATGAACACCTGCTTCCCAGCCATAGGAAAAATCAAGTCATCATGGGCCTTCAGCTTCAAAAAGCTAATGGCAGGCAAAATCTGTCATGACAAAATGGGGGGTTTGTGTCATCTCTTTTAGCCAAATAGCAGCTTTTTAATACTTTGCCATATGATAATTCTGTCCTTCAGCTGACTTGTCACAGCTTAACCCTCTATGTAGCTGTGGGCAGAGAGGGCTTTGCTGCTGTATGCTTCCAGTTGTTCTGCAGTGTCATCTCTACTTATATCAGGGCTAAGTTCCTGTGAACTCAACTGCTGACATCTCTACACTTGTGTGTGTATTACTGATGACAAATTAAAGCTTCAATTATTTACATAGCAGAAAATGTCACTGTTTGGTTCTCTTAAAAATTAAAGTGCCAACTACTTTTTCAAAGTTGTCTTTTTTAACAAATTTTGTATCTTTCACAATGTGCAGTTGGAAAACAGATAACATTATGTCGCTCCTGTTCAGTGTTGTTCTTTTCCATTTGACAGACATTTTATTTTAAAATGTGGGTTTGATATGAGTGTGCCAAAAAAGCTGAAATCATGCATTGCACAAGGGTAGGGAAGAAAATTCACTGTTTTTATGAAATGTGCAAAACTATTTAGATTTTTTGTTGTCACTGTATGGGTTCAAGAAGCAATGATACAAATAAATTGAAATCCACTGAGGGATTGCAAAGGATACCACATCAGACTAGGGAAATTGCTGAACTGCAAGTCACTGGAGCTGGGAGAGTGGCTGGGAGAGAGAGCATTTCTTTGCTTTGTTCTTGTCTTGAGCAGCCTGTCTTAGCCACTGTCTGAGACAGCTCTAATGAGGTGGAGGTGTGACTGCTCTTCCAGTGAGCAAAACAGTTTCTTTAAAATTGATAGAAATCCTAATTGTCAGCATGGGTTTACTCCATCTAATAGTTCCACTGATGTGTGTTGCCTTTTTTTCAAG